AATGCATCAAGAGACAAAACCAGTCGCATTTTGGTAGTTTTCTTCAACATGGGGATTAGTAGAATGAGAGAGAGATTATTTATGGTAGAGAAAGAAAAACATCCAGGCTCCAAGATACTTTCAAAGAGTATGGATTTTGGAAAGAGGTTGAACTCTAATAGATAAAGAGAATGGGTCCAGGTTTTTACCCAGAAGTTAGGAAGCATGTTGAAGATGGGATTCAAACAAGGAAGATGTGTAACTTCATGTCAACCAGTGTGGCCATGCAACTTGAAGTTGACTTGAAGAAGGAAGAATTGAGCAAGAATATGACAAAAGCCAGAAAGATATAAGCACTCCTAACAACAACAACAACAAACTTGTAAGCCATTTTACAGACTTGAGAGAAGACAAAAAAACCTAAAAAAAAAAACCCCAAAGCCAAAATCAGATAATGGTGGTACATAGGTAAAGGAAATGTTGTTAATCAAACAAGATGGGAGACTGAGAGTCTGTGATGATCTTTTAATGCTGGAGGCTGCACTGGCCATAAAGAGGGTGAGGCAGGGTAAGGTCAGTGACAAGCTGATACCATGTCACTTTCACGTACTTAGTGTGTGCATTAATGTAAAATGCTCAATTATATATCAAAATAGTTCATTTCAAAAATCCTAGTTGTAAAGCAGCCTCTAGGTAGATGATTTATTTGCCTCTTGGAAGTCCAAAGTTGGAGGAAAAGACTTAATAGTCCATCCTTCTCGCCTTTTCTGTGCTGACAGTTTCTGAAGAAGTGAGAGATATTTTGCTTTAGTGTGTTGTGAGAACATAGAGGTAGTATGTTTTCTCTAAGCAGTTCCCTATTCTGTAATGGTCTGTTCTTATAGCTGCCTTGAGCAGTTCTGTCTGAAAATTTTGAAAGATTTTTTTCTAGTTGTTAACACTTGGGTTTTCTTGGAAGATACCTGTATTTTGAAAAGAACTGTGTTTACAACCCTTTCCATCTCAGAGCTTTGATCCTAGCCCTGGAGGGCTACAAGCTAGAAGTGTCCTGTGGATAGCATGCAGCTGAGCACAGAATTCGTGTCTTCTTGCTTCAGAACTTCCACATCAATGTTTTTGGTTTTGAAAACAAAAGATCTTTGCTTTCTGTATTAAAATTAGCTGTCCTGTTGTAGGAGATGAACTAACATTTAGCTGCTTTCTCAGACACTGATGCATCTCAGTGCGACGTTCACAAGTAGAGCAATGATAAATGGCAGATTTGGATATCTGAACCATAGCACTTTATTATAGGTGCTGGGTTTTCTCAAAATAAGGCTTAAAAACCATAAACTCTTGTCTCTTGTGGTGCCAGTGACCCACAAGTAAAAGTGTTTTCAGCATGTGTGGAAAATGGTCTGATCATTTTGTGCATATCCCTTTTGCTTTTTAATATTTTTTTCAGGTTTACAAGGCCAGAACATCTAGGAAGCAGTGCCAAAATCAAATGTAGTGGTTGCCATAGCTACCAGGAATCTACCAAACAACTCACTATGAAGAAGTTACCCATTGTGGCCTGTTTTCATCTCAAAGTAAGTTCACAGGGGGCAGACAGAGCAGAGGACGTGTATTCCTCTCTTGACATATCTTCTGGCTTTCACTGACTAATCTTTTCTGATATAAATTAATATAAAGAATAGCTTGCATGCCCTTCTAGATTTTCCATTAAGACAGTATTACATTATCTATAACGTAGCTTTGCAGCATGTCTGTGGGAACCTAACTAATCAGAATCTGGAAACAAAATGGAAGGCTAGTACCATACCTGAACCAGTGTAGAAACCAGTCTTCAATAACACATATTACTGATCCTGCATGGTAAAATTTTTACCCTACACTTCTACTGGAAGAATGCCACAGAGGAACTCTGTGTTGAAGGAAAAGCATGAAAAAGTTATTGATTGTAATGGAGAAGGTTTCCTGTATCTTCCCAACTGTGACATAGTTTGCAAAGTTTCCAATCCAGTTTCTGTCAGATGCAATGATGGGAGATAATGTCACTGAGGGCTGGTGCCCTCAGATAGTTTAGTCCTATATGATTTATGTCTTAAATATAAAGAGTATGACTGTTGTGCAAAGTAGGCAGCTATCGCAGAAGATGAAGGTCATTCTGTGTCAAGGGGAGAAGGACCCTTGAAAAGTGATGCCACGGGCCTTTGTAGAAGCAGCCACCATAGTAATTTAACCACATCTTTGATCTGCTTGAGCTTTTCAGAGGCAGACCTCTAAGGTCTTGAGTGTCTCCTGGGACAGAATGACAAAGTCCTCTCATTGCTAGGCAGCAACTGAGGATCACTGGCCTCAGCTCTTACTATGACCAATGTTTCAAGAAGCTGCTTATCTGATCATGATACTAATGTCACATAAGCTACATAAAGAAAAACAGCATTTTGCCTGTGACCATGATGACTGTAAGCAGATTTTAAAATGGTAGCCTGTATGCTGTGGACAAATGAAGACTTGTATTGCTTCTCCTTACAGTTGGGGAACTCTGAATTGAAAGAGCACGGTTGTTCAACTCTTACGTGGTTTCTAGGCTTTGAACTTTGGTGGAACACCTGGGTGACTTTAATACAGTTGGAATTAGAGCTTTACCTTGTAGCTGTCACGGCAAAGTGCACGCTGAACTTTGCTGTAGCGTGCAGGCAATTTTTCTGGTTTATTTTCCAGTAGCCCTCTAAGCTAGCTCAGTACATTCATACTGGAAAATCTAATAATCTGTGTAACTATATTGTCATGGTCTCACTGAGCAAGTCGTGGACTGTATTCAAGAAATGATTGTAGTTTGGAATTGTTAAATTACATAGCAACTCCGTATCCAGCGTAGCAGCAATTTAAAATTTATTTTCAAAATCTGGCTTGTACAGAAGCTTGTTAATGAAATGCAGAGATCTTGACATGGAAACAGATGCCATAGGCAGGTCTGTATTTGTGAGAAAAGATTCTGCTTTCTATTGGAAAAAAAGTGTTACAGGTGGGAAGATTTCCCTCTTCTGTAACTTACCTTTGCAGACTGTTTGGGACAATCGTGCCTTCAGGTTTTCACCCCCATGTACCAGCAGTTCTGCAGTTAACCAAGATGATACGTGATGTTATCTGCCAAAGATATTACCCTGACTGGAATAGATAGTAGCAGGGTTCCTTTGTTCTTCTCTGGTTGTTTGTGTTCTTCCTGAAG